TGCATTGTAAATTTTGGTCAATGACATGAGACAAAGTATATGTGAACTGCTGTATGAAAAGTGAATTTACTCTGTAAATCTTCACCCAAATCCTAATAAATAAAAAAAAAAAGAACATTATGTTAGATTATTATAACTAATCTTTTTATTACAAAAATGGTACATGTTCACTATGGAATATTTTGGGAGCTCTGGTAGCGTAGTGCCTAAGGCATCTGACTGCTAACCTGAAGGCTGGTGGTTCAAACCCACCAGCCCACTCCTTGGAAGGACGAGTGGGCATTCTACTTCCATAGTGATACTGCCTCGGAAACCCAAGGAGGGGTCGCTATGAGTCAAATCAACTTGATGGCAGTATGGGTAATTTTAGGATATTCAAGTAAGCTATAGAGAGAAAATAAAGATCACCTGCCAGGCTACCATCTAGAGGAGGTTCTCAACATTTAACTGATATCACAATCCCATGAGGGCTTATTAAACACAGATTGTTGGACTGAACCCCAGAGTATCTAATTCAATATGTCCTGGAAGAAGCTCCGTAATTTGCATTTCTAACGAGTTCCCAGATGATGTTGACATTGCTAAACTAGGGGACCACTGACCTGTCTTAAAACATTTTCTGTGCACATGTAGTATATCTTAAATGTATATTTTTGTCTCTTTGCTTTTACAAAAAAAAAAAAAAATGTCACCTATTATGTAACCTACTTATATACTTAACATAACCCTTTTTGCTCATGTTTTTCTATGTATGTGCTTTGTCATGCAGCTGAGCAGGCCCAGAAAGCAAGGAAGGAGATAGCCGACTATCTGGCTGCTGGGAAGGATGAACGTGCTCGGATCCGAGTGGAGCACATTATCCGGGAAGACTACCTGGTGGAGGCCATGGAGATCCTGGAGCTGTACTGTGACCTGCTGCTTGCTCGGTTTAGCTTGGTCCAGGCCACCAAGTAAGACCTGTTGACTTTGCGTCATTTCTCAGGCTGAGAGGAGTTGACAGATGATTCTTGTGTTAAGAACTTTGTCTCCAGTTTTTGTAGAGAGAATTAGCCCTATTCAAAGAGAGTAAGTCAGGCAAAAGAGCCATTGTTTAAAATTGTGGCAAATATATGTAACAAAACATCTCCCATTTCAAATTTTTTTTCACATGCCCTTCAGTGACATTAATTACATGCCTCATGCTGTGCGACCATCACCACTATCGGTTCAGTCTTTTTCCATCACCCTAAACAGAAGCTCTGTGTTCTCAAAGCAATGAGCCCTCCTTCCCCCACTCCCTCCTGCCCACCCCTGGTAACCACATATGAAGTTTGGTCCCTACATTCTCGCCTGTTCTAGATATTTCATGTATGAAAGAGCTTATTTTTTTAAATTCAAATAGGTATCTTTTTCCCCGAGTTATAAGAATATAGTATAAATTTTGTGGTAGAAAAGTTGGAAAATAAAGGCCAAAAAAAGTATTTATAATACCAAACCCGAAGATAAGCATTTTTATATACTCCCTTTCAGTCTATTACAGTAAAATCTGTTTTGAGAGTCAGCGATGGGACTGTCTTATTTATTTCCAGTGTCACAAGTTTTCTATCTTTCATTGGGTGCAGTCTTGCCACTTTTCTATCACTCCTTTTTAGCCGAAAATATTTGAGTTTTTCCCTTCTCTGACAGGTTTCCTCCTTACACAGTTTCTGGCTTTTGCAGGTCTAACTGCATATCTATATGTATCTATGTGTCATATAGACACATGTGTGTCTGTACATAAGTATGTACATAGGTTTCTATTGTAATTTCACTTTTTTTTTTTTAATTCTTTAACATTGTATTTTGACTATGGGTCACCTTTGAAGTACAGAGAAAAGCCCTGAGTTTCGTAATTTTGTGCTTTCCTTAGGGAACTAGATTCTGGTCTTGCTGAATCCGTGTCTACACTAATCTGGGCTGCTCCTCGACTCCAGTCAGAGGTTCCTGAGTTGAAAATAGTAAGTTTGACCAGTTTTAGCTGCCTGTGCCATGAATGTAGGTAAGGGTATCATTAGTGTTACTTGCTTGGAATTATAGGATTATTTGGAGAATCTTTTTTTCTCTTAAGGAGTAACCAACAAAGTATTTTCTTGTATTGGTCTTTAAGTGAAGAATACCTTTTTTTAAGTCAAAAGTAGAAAAAAATAAATAAACCTTACCTCAAAAAATAAAAACTTGATGCTGGGTTTTGTTTTTGTACTAGTTGTTGAAAAACAAAGCACAGCATTTAGGGGATGGGGGTTGATGCTAAAAGAACATTATTCCAATGAAATAACTTGAAAATTATTTTTGCTGTTTTTATTGTTATTCATCTAAAGTAAAATTGCCATACCTTGATCAATTTTGCCCTTTTTTCTTTCTTGGTGATGGTTTCTACAGGTATCTCATCAGCTGTGTGCAAAGTATAGCCAAGAATATGGTCACCTGTGTCGAACCAATGAGATTGGGACTGTCAGCTCTCGGGTAGTACCACTTTCAGAGACACATATTTTTCTAAACCAAGAAGTCTGAGAAAAGCTGAGCAAACTCAAAACATGCAATTTTGCACAGACCCAAAGAATATTTAGAAATAAGTTTTGCATTGGAGGTAGAGCAACTTGGGTAAAGGTGTGGGGCTAGGAAATTGAATTTAGAGGCACAGCCAAGAAAATGGAGTTGACTTTTTTTTTAAAGAAAGCATCACTCACTCACTGCTGTGGAGTAGGATCTGACTCATAGCAGCTCTTTGGGTTTCTGAGGCAGTTATCACTGCAGAAGTAGATTGCCCAATCTTCCTTCCTAGGCGTGGCTCATGGCTTTGAACCACCAGCCTTCTGGTTAGCAGTCAAACTGACCTGGTAACAAGAAGGAAGTTAAACTTAGAAGTTTCAACTTTAGAACATGTTACATCATGACCATACATGTCATTCTGACATTCACCTGAGAAGCAGGAATCTAGCCACAGCAGAAATCTGGCCACTGTATCGGGCTGGTGGACATCTTTGTCTTTCAGGTTGTCCATTCTGATTGATTAGCGCCCTTCTGTACTGGTTGCTAAATATGTTGAATATTGCCCCTGACATAATTCAGATGCTCACCACAGAATCAGAATCCTTGATTCAAATATTCAAAATATTTTTTGTTGTTGATTTTTTTCTTCTTCTTACTCTGTTTGGCTTGAGGTTTCTAGACCTCAGGATAGGGCTATGACGTGGTAGAAATACAAATGAGTGGCCCCATGATACATTCACAAGCAGGACCATTTCTTGTTGCTAAATTATACTTCTGAAAAAAAAAATGATACATCTCAAACAACAGAGACTAGAAAGATGAAAAACAATGATTCAGAGGTGAGAGACTATCTAAATTCTCTTTGTTTCTTATTTTGTAGGTATGTGTGTGACCAAATCTGCTGTGTTCTCTATTTTGCAGCTAATGTGTAAATTAAATGTGGATATGCTACCCCAAATCCTGGTGGAACAATACCTTCTAGAGATTGCTAAGAATTATAATGTGCCATATAAACCCGCAATTACAGTGAGTACTTTTGAGAAGGGAGAGCTGACTTAGAGCTGAGATTTTTATTGCACACTTGAAGATGCCTTCTACTTAGGGATATGGCTTCCAGAGTAGCTCTGGCAGAATTGTAGTGCAGGTGACATTTTCTCCCCCCACATACAGTTCCTAACAGAGCTTGACTTCTGCTAAGTATCAGGTCCCCCTTTCAAGTTGTTAGCAAAGGAATAGAAAGCAGATATAAAGGTACCTAAAGTGTTCAATCCAGAAGCGTGTAAAACATCTTTTAGTTTTTAAAATCTCAATTTTGTCCTGGGGATATTTTATATTTTAATGAAAAACGCTTGAAACAAAGGCTACAAGACTGAAAGTCACAAGGCATTATCATTTAGACCTTGCTGAGAGTATGAGTTTAGTAGTGAAATGGCCCATATTCAGATCCTAGCTTCACCATTTATTAACCATGAAACACCAGGCAAGTGACTTACACTCTTCAATGTTCTCTGGAATGTAAAAATGGGGACAGTAATAGTTCCTAGCTCATAGCTTTGTTGTGATGGTTAAGTGAGCGATATATATATAAGGAACTTAATGCAATGCCTGTCATGTAGCAAATATCATCAAGTTTTGCTTTTTATCATCATCATCATTATCACAGGGTAGATTAAACTTCTAAAATGTGGTCATGAATGTTTTAGGACAAGAATGTTTTCTCCCTGTTGTCATTGTTAGGTGCTGTTGAGTCGATTCCAACTCATAGCGACCGTGTGTACAATAGAACGAAACACTGCCCCATCCTGAACCATCCTCACAATCCTTGCTGTGCTTGAGCCCCTGATTGCAGCCACTGTGTCAGTCCATGTCTTTGAGGGTCTTCCTCTTATTCTCTGACCTTTTATTTTACCAAGCATGATGATATTCTCCAGGGACTGGTCCCTTCTGACAACATGACCAAAGTAGTTGAGATGAAGTCTGGCCATTTCTTGCTTCTGAGGAGCATTCCCTATGCACTTTATCCAGGACAGATTTGTTCGTTCTTCTGGCAGTCCATGGTACTTTCAGTATTCTTCACCAACACAATTCAAATGCATCAATTCTTCTTCGGTCTGTCTTATTCATTGTCCAGCTTTTCCATGCATAGGAGGTGATTGAAAATACCATGGCTTACATTGTTGCTGTTATTTGCTGTCGAGTTGGACCCAACTCATAGTGACCCCTCCTTGGGTTTCCAAGGTGGTATCACTACGAAGTAGCTTGCCCAACCCTCCTTCCAAAGAGTGGCTGGTAGGTTTGAACCACCAGCCTTCTGGTTAGCAGTCAAGTGCCTTAGGCACCATGCTACCAGAGCTCGTAGGCTTACGTTAGGTGCACTTTAGTCTTCAAAGTAACATCTTTGTTCTTCCACACTTTAAAGAGGTCTTTTGAAGCAGATTTTCCTAGTGCAATATGATGTCTGATTTCTTGACTGCTGGTTCCATAGGTGTTAATTATGGATCCAAGTAAAATGAAATCCTTGACAATTTTGATGTTTTCTCCATTTATCATGACTACACATCGATAGGTTTAGTGCAGTTGTGAGGATTTTTGTTTTCTTTATGTTGGGGAGTAATCCAAACTGAAGACTGTAGTCTTTGATCTTTACTAGTCAGTGCTTGAAGTCATTTTCAGTATCAGCAAGCAAGGTTGTGTCATCTGCATATCACAGGTAGTTACTGAGTCCTCCTCCAATCCTTGATGCTGTGTTCTTCATATAGTGCAGCTTCTCGGATTATTTGCTTAGCATACAGATTGAAAAACTGTAGTGAAAGAGTACAACCCTGATGCATGCCCTTTCTGATTTTAAACCATGTAGTATTCCCTTGTTATGTTTGAATGACTGCCTTTTGTTCTGTCTACAGTTGCCTCATGACACAATTAAGTGTTCTGGACTTCCCATACTTTGCAATGTTATCCGTAATTTGTTATTATCCACACAGTTGAATGTGTTTGTATAGTCAGGGAAGCACAGGTAAACATCTTTCTGGTATTTGCTTCCAGCCGAGATCCATCTGATATCAGCAATGATATCCTTCATTCCCTATCTTTGGTATCCAGCTTGCATTTCTGGAAGTTCCCTGTCAATATACTGCTGCAATCCTTTTTAAATGATATTCAGCAACATTTTACTTGTGTGTGATATTAATGATAATGTTCAATAATTTCTACAATCTGTTGGATCACCTTTATTTGGAATGGGCACAAATATTAATACTTTTCAGTCAGTTGTTTTCTCTCAAATGATTCCCAAATAATTTCACGTGGGGAGCTGTGTTTTAGCTATGGATAAGGCTGTTCATGGTGACTCCCTTATAGAAGATGGCCCTTGTACTCTGGTGTCAAATTTCAGCTTAGTGTAGGCATGCTTAGAATGGATCAGAAAGAAGAGTCTATTCCACCCTCCATGTACCTTCCATGCTGCCTTCTAACTGCTGGGGTAGCATGTAACGTGTTGGATTATGGTCGAGGGGCACAGTTTTCTTTTCTGATAGTTTGCTCCCGATGGTTTCCTGATAAGGATTCTTTACTTCCTTTTTTCATACTGATGTTTTTTAAGTACAGCACTGATCTTACCGTTAATATACTTTATTTTGTGGCCACTCTGTTTTTTCACTAAAGGGTGATCTCAGGGGATAGGCTCAGTTCTGGGTTTAAAGAGGTCTCAGAACGATAGTCTCAGGGAATCCTCTGTTGCTCCGGTTCTGGCTTTTATTCCTTTTTTATCTTTCAAACAGCTGTATGATGTATTGAAAAGTTACATATTGTAAAAATTTTAATGGTACAGAAAGGAACTTTGGAGGTCAAAGCCACATGAAATCCCAACGAGGATGTTCTCAAGGGTTCAGTCTCTGGACCTTTTCTCTTTTTTCCTACTCTGTAGAGGATTTCATCCAACCCCATGGTTTTCAATACCGTCTTTATGGTGAGGACTTCCACATGTCTGTCACTACTAAGTCCTCTCTCCTGAACTCCAGGCTCAGATATCCACCTGCTTTCTTGACACCTTCATTTGGATGTTTTAGAGGCATCTCAGTGTTGACATATCCAAAAATGTGCTCATGTGCTCTTTTGAATATCTTTCCATTCCCTGTTAATGGCAATTTTATGCTATGGCAAAAAAAAAAAAAAAAAAACCTCAGTATATCCCTTGACTTTCTCTCAAACCCTCTACTCCACAACCAGTCTGTCAGCAGATCTTGTTGACTTCATCTTCAACATCTATCTAGAATTTTGCTATTTCTCACCATAGTTACTGCCAGTACTTTGGTCTAACCCACAATCATCTTGCCTGGATTATTGCAATAGCCTCTGCACTGGTTTTCCTGTTTCTACAGAAGTTCAGCATAGCAGGCAGAGATCCTGTTAACACCTAAGTCAGATCATGCCCCTTCTCTGCTTTTAAAGCCCTCAGAGGCTTTTCATTATG